CCCGCTTGCATCTCGCGCTTGTGGGCTTTCAGGGCTGGGTGTCTTTGAGGGTCTCTTGCGGCCGCGTCCGCACTGCAGTTCCACCCCAGTCGTTGTCAACGACCCTGCAGGGTCCATTTCGATCCGATCGATCCGAGTCGATATCGGCTCTGACCGGCCCGATCCGATCTGATCTCGACCTTCCGTCGATCCGATGCGGCCCGATGTTTGCGCGACGCTGCTGTGCACCCTGGCGCGGCTGATCCGATGTGAGTTCCGACTTCGCGCCGATGCATCGATGCAGCCCGATTGCATGCACGTTCCGATCGATTCGATGCGCGTTCCGATCCGAATCGATTTCCCGACTCGGTACAGACGGATCCCGCCCTGCGCCTGCTCTCGCAGGCCTAGAGGTTGACACCAGCACCAATATCGGCGGTGTGCCTCCACCGAGGGAAGAAGATCCCGATTTCGGTGATGGTGGTAAGAATTCTGGCTTCCAAGGTGGCCGAAATATTGCCACCAGCACCGAACATCTAGGATCATCTTCCCCCTGTGGAGGCCCCCCCCCCCATGTTGGTGTTGGTGCCCATGTCCAGGCCTCCAAGAATCGGTTTCCCGACTCGGTGCGGGCGGCTCCCGCCCTGCGCCTGCTCGGTGCACGCCGGCTCGCCTCCCGGCTCGCGCCGGTGCGGCCCGGGCCCGGGGCGGGCCGAGGCTCGACTACACGTAAGAGTGACCTTTCGCCGGAGTGACCTTTGGTGCGGGCTCATCGGGCTCCCCCCGATCGCCCAGCGCGATGCGATATAAGCGGCCCGCGCCCTTGGGTTTTCAGAGGCCAGCAACATATGTACACGTACGCGGTTAGCTTCCCCTGGAGTGCGTGTCAACGCGGACGTTCGTGCAGGCAAGACCGCGGAGGGCGTACATGTACATATGTCGTTGCTCGCCCAGGTTTGGCTCCCTCGCGCCCCCAAAAGCTGCGCACCAAAGGTCACTCTTGCCCAGGGTCGCTCTTGCGCCTAGCCGAGAGGCTGGCGGCGGGCGAGAGCCCGAAGTGTGTAGGCGGGGAGCGAGGCGCAGCGAGCCCCAGGCCGGGCCTGTCCCGCCACAGGAGGGAGATTCGAAGGTGGTCAACAAACAGTCTGGGGAGGATGTTTTGAGCATGTTTGACTACTGCTATTTTTTTGGGGGTGTGGTTTATGTTTCGTCCAGAATCCGCCTGGAGGGGGACGGGCCCGACCCAAATCGAGCCCCTGCTCGGCCGCCTGGTGCCGCAGTTCTCCCCGGCAGCGGTCCTGGCACTGGGATTCTTGGGCCTGCTTGCCACCACCAGCACCACCACAGTGAGCGGAGGAAAAGGGTGCCCCTGCCGCTACCCTCTCCTCGTCGTCCCTTGTTTGGGCCCCCTGGGAGGCCTCGTCGCCACCGCTGGATTCGCCTCGAAATTCTGGTCAGAACGCACTCTAGGAGAGGTCCGGGGAGTAGCTGTACATATCGGTACCTCTCTGGCCTCCCCACAGCAGCCATGGGCGGCCAACCTTTGGTCGCGCTTTGCCGGGCGCGGCTGGGGCGAAGCACTGCCACGGGTGGCAGTCGCCCCTGGTCTGTGACAGTGGTGGTGAAAAGTAGGCCCACCGAGGATGCAACTCCTGGGAGGTTGGCTTCAGCATCGGCGCTGGTACGTCCGTGGCCCCAGACGGGCGCAGCGCGGCATGATCCCACTCACTCCCGCGCACGTCCGCTCGCTCTGTCTGGCCTCATTTGGTTTAGTGGCCTCTGAGTTCTGCCCAGTAGTCCCTCATCGCTCTCACGAACAACTCTGAGGAGTCGCTTCGTATCTGGCACTGTGGCCATCCTGCCCCACCGGTTTTCGATGAATGGCCTTCGCGAGACTGTTTCCGTAGTGAGCGTTCCAGTCCTCGATGCAGGCTTCTCCCAACCGTGGTGAGCCTCTGTGTTTAGAGATTGGGAAGCATCTACCCGGCCCCGCCCCTCTGGCGACATCCGTATTTTGCTGGCCACAGCCCTCGCGAAATGAACGCCCGCTCTGCATCGTCAGACAGGGTTGTCTCTTGTACATGCGCGAACAGTCTCTAAGTTTTCATGCTGTTCATCACGACGGAGGCATCCAATTGCAATCGTCGGGGCAGGAACTCGCGGTCAGCTGATGACGTTGCAAGATAAAGTTGTACCTGCAAACTCACGCAGCAGAGAGGGCCTTCCGAGGATGCCGCATGCCAAAGAGCGCGTTCTGTGCTCGCTGGGAATGGGGGGGTTCGAACAAGGGCCCCCCCCCCTGCAACCGACGAGCGACGGCAAGCGCCAGCGCCGGCGCTGGCGCCCTTGGGCAGCGACGACGAGGGGGCCCCCAATGCAACCGACGACGGCGAGCGCTGGAGCCGGCGCGGGCGCCGTCGGGCAGCGGCGGGGACGACGACGACGACGACGACGACGACGACGACGACGGCGGAAGGGGCGGCGGCAGCGGCGGCCACGACGACGGCGGCTGCGACGGCGACGGCGACAGCGACGGCGGCGGCGGCGGCACGACGGCGACGGCGACGGCTACAGCGACGGCGACGGCGACGGCGACGGGAACGACGGCGACGTCCACTACGGCGGCGGCGGCTGCGGCGACGACGGCGACGGCGACGGCGACGGCGACGGCGAGGGCGACGGCAACGGTGGCGGCCGTGACGGCGCTGACGGGGACGGCGACGGCGACGGCGACAACGACAACGGCGATGACGACGCCGACGACGACGACGGCGACGGCGGCGGCGGTGGCGGCGACGGCGACGGCGACGACGGCGACGACGACGGGTACGGCGGCGACGGCGACGGCGACGGCGACTGCGGCGGCGACGGCGACGGCGACGGCAACGGCGACGGCGACGGCGACGACGACGGCGTAGGCGACGGCGACGGCAACGGCGGCGGCGGCGGCGGCGGCGGTAACGACGACGACGACGACGGACATGACGATGGCGGCGGCGGCGGCGACGACGACGGCGGCGGCGACGGCGACGGCGACGACGACGGCGACGGCGACGGCGACGGCGACGGGTGCGGCGGCGGCGACGGCGACGGCGACGGCGACAACGACGTCGACGAAGGCGATGACGATGGCGACGGCGGCGGCAACGACGACGACGACGACGACGACGGCGGCGACGACGAGGGCGACGGCAACGGCGGCGGCCGCGACGGCATCGACGGAGACGGCGACGGCGAATACGATAACGGCGACGACGACGACGACGACGGCGACGGCGGAGGCGGCGGCGATGGCGACGGCGACGGCGGTGGCGGTGATGGCCACGGCGACGGCGACGGCGTTGGCAACGGCAACGGCGGAGGCCGCGACGGCGTCGACGGCGACGGCGACGGCGACGGCGACGAATACGGCGGTGGCGACGGCGACGGCGACAGCGACGGCGCCCGACGGCGACGACGACGACGACGACGGCGACGACGACGACGGCGACGGCGACGGCGACGGCAACGGCGGCGGCGACTGCGGCTGCGACAGCGACGACGTTGACGACGTCGACGACGACGACGACGACGACGAGGACGACGACGACGGCAGGTGCGGCGTCGGCGGCGGTGGCGGCGGTTTTTGCGGCGACGGCAACGGCGACGGCGACGGCGACGGCGACGACGGTCGTAATTGGTCCCCGTCCGTTGGGATTGGTCCCACATGCGGTTGGAACCCCGTCCCCATCTTTGGACGGGGGGGGCCTCCCCCTCCGTTCGAACCCCTCCCCCCCCTCTGAGGGGGCGGGATGGGGGGAGGCAGTTAGGGAGGCCGGTGTCCAGGGGGAGAGGGGGTTCCCCTGGGCGCAGAATGCTTTTCCCAACCGTCCTGTGGTGTTGGGTCCTCGTTTTGAAGAGACGGTGCCCCGCGTCATTCACTCCTCCTCCTCACCCTCCTCCCTCCTCCTCCTTCTCCTCCCCCTCCTCCCTCCTCCCTGTATTTCACACACCCAGTACAGCGCATCGTGGCCCCATGGGGAGCTCAACCGAAGGCCACAGTGCCACCGCCCGCATGCATCTCCCACATCTATTCCGACACACCTGTCACACGTTTCGTGGCCCCATAGGGAGCTCCACCGAAGGCGCCAGTGCCACCGGCGGCATGCGTCACCCACACCCATTTCGGCACAACCCTCACACGTTTCGTGGAACAACAAGGAGCTAGCTCTGCCGAAGGCCTCAGTGGCAAAGTTCGCGTGCGTCACCCACACGCGGTTCGGCACACCCCTCACAAGTTTCGTGGCCCCATAGGGAGCTCCACCGAAGGCCCCAGTGCCACCGCCCGCATGCGTCATTCATTCCCATGTCGGCACACCCCTCACACGTTTCCTGGCCCAATGTAGCTCAACCGAAGGCCACCGTGCCACCGCCCGCATGCGTCCCCACTGATTTCGGCACACCCCTTACACGTTTCGTGGCCCCATAGGGAGCACCACCGAAGGCCCCAGTGCCACCGCCCGCATGCGTCACCCACACCCATTTCGTCACACCCCTCACACATTTCCTGGCCCCATGGGGAGCTCGAACGAAGGCCCGGGTTCCACCGTCCGCATGCGTCACCCACGCCCATTCCAGCACACCCCTCACGCGTTTCGTGGCCCCATAGGAATTCGACCGACGGCCCCAGTGTCTGGTTTCGCATGCGCCCACCGGACAAATGTTGGCACACCCCTCACACGTTTCGTGGCCCTACAGTGAGCTCCTCCGAATGCGGTGCATACAACGGCGGTATACACAACTGCACATGGTTGGGTCCTTCGACTGGCTAATTTTTTTGGGGGCCCGTTTCCAACTTGTCGAGGCGTTTTTCCCATGCGGGCGTCCACGAAATGCGTTTTCTCGAAGATGCATATCCCCATTGTCGCCCGCAGAAGTCTGGGGGCCCGAAGACGGGGCGAGCAGCCGCGCCTGCTGTGGTGATGTTGTTGCCCGCGGCTCTCCGGATCTGAGGGTTCCGTCCTGCCCACGCCTCCACGCAGGCGCAGTTCGGCGTCGACGCGGACGGCATCGTTGTGAACCAGGCGCGGAATGAACAACAAGGTCTTGACGCTTCGCGTATCCCCAGCAGCACATCCACCAAGCAGTTACCAGGCGAGCTGCCTTGTCGAATGGATGCGCAGCAGCATGCAGCCGCGCTCTGGGAGCGTCCTGGAGGAAACCCTGAAATGGCCACATATGTTCCGTGGTTATTTGATCAAACAGTGCGACTGGGTGTGGGGACGATGGTTTCGGCTCCCCGACAGGCCCAGTTCGACGCCGCCACCGCCGCCCTGCAGCCAGCGCTGAGCCCCCCGGTGCAGTTCCAACAACAGGCCGTACCTTCGGCGCTTCCGTTCCTCTCAGCGACCACCCAGACAGCCGGCATATGTTTTTCAATCGCAGTTGTTGTTGCCCTGTTTGGGGCTCCGGGGGGCGCTTTCGGGCCCCAAGACTACCAACAGTGAACCCAAGACGACCAATAGCCCACGGGGAAGGAGCCGGGGGCTGTATACGGCCGCGGATGCCCCCCGAGCTGCTTGTTTGTAACGGTTCCACGTATGGCTCGTGAGAAGGGCTGGGAGGGCCGTTGCCGGACCAGAACTGGTGTTTCCATGACCTCTCGTATAGTCTACCGCATGTTGTTGTGGAGGGCCGTTGTCGACCCCAGAATCGGTGGCCTGATGACTTCCCGTGTGATCTCCAGCATGGCCTTCCGCTACTGTACTACCGAATATGGCCTCCCGTGTGCTCTCTGGAAGGTTCTCACATGTGGTGCTCCGTGTGCGATCGCGTACGGTCTTTGCATGTGCTCTCACGCATGGTCCCGCATGCACGGCACACAGTACACGACGGTCGTTGCATTCTTGGATTCCCAGATCCCAATCTACTTCTAACGCCTTCCTGCTTCAAGAATCGGCATGGTCTTGATGTGTTTTTATTCTCTGGGAGGGCCTGGAGCCAATCTGCTTCATCCGCCTTCCTACTTCATGTTTTTACCTACTTCTTCCGACCGACGTGTAATGACCCCATGAGTATCGAAGTCTAGGAATCTGCTGCTTGGGAGTTTCTGCCGTCAGGGCGTGATATCGTTCCTCCGGACCCCGCCCCTGCCTGTCAAGTCGACGCTTGGGTATCGGACACACCCGTGGGGGCCCGCTTCGCCGTATGCGTCATGCTGATTCTGCCCCCCCACTTCTTATTATTCGCATATTTTCCGGGGAATCGACGATTCATTGTGTCTGTGTGTTTTTTCCCTCCTGAGATTCGAGGCCTTCCAGGAGGAGATCTCGGAGGGCTCAGGACCTCAGAGCTGGGAGGGGGCACCGCAGGGTTCTCGACGAGGAGACCTCGAGGAGACCTCCCTCCCGCCGGCGTTGAGGAGAGGCCCGACTTGCAGGGGCAGGGCTCACACGACTCCGAGACCCCCCTCAGACGGGGCGGTTCTCCCAGGAGCGACGCGCACCAGGCGGCCACTCCCCTTTCGGAGGGGTGCGCCGGCCCCCTCCTCCTCCTCCTCCTCCTCCTCCTCCTCCTCCTCCTCCTCCTCGATCCTCCTCCTCTTCCTCGATCCTCCTCCTCCTCCTCCTCCTCCTCCTCGATCCTCCTCCTCCTCCTCCTCCTCCTCCTCCGATCCTCCTCCTCCTCGATCCTCCTCCTCCTCCTCCTCCTCCTCCTCCTCCTCGATCCTCCTCCTCCTCCTCCTCCTCCTAGTGTGTCTCCACTGCAGAGCAAGACAATCTGCCTCTGGGGAGGCGGCGTTCGGGCCCTGTGTGCCGTCCACGGCGCAGCTCGGTGTGAACAGGAGTCGGCCCCGCGGGAGGGACTTCGGCAGGTCTGGGAGCCCACGTCTCGAGCAAGGCGTGGCCGTGGGACGTCCAAGGGAAAAGCGAGAGATATCGAGGAGGAGGAGGAGGAGGAGGAGGAGGAGGAGGAGGAGGAGGAGGAGGAGGAGGAGGAGGAGGAGGAGGAGGAGGAGGAGATCGAGGAGGAGGAGGAGGAGGAGGAGGAGGGGGAGGGGGAGGAGGAGGAGGAGGAGGAGGAGGAGGAGGGGGAGGAGGAGGAGGAGGAGGAGGAGGGAGGCGAGAGGCAGGGAGGCGGAGGCGGAGGAGGCGGAGGACGGGAGGCGGAGGCGGAGGAGGCGGAGGACGGCGGAGGCGGTGCGGCCCTCGGCTCGCCGACGAGGGGGGCGGGGCGAGAGCGAGGAGCGGAGGCATGGACCGCGAGCGCCGCGCGGGGGACCCCCCAAAAGTGCGACGTCCTGGGGGCGCTGAAGAAGGAACCCTTTTCGTTGGGGAAGGGCTCAGTGTTCCTTGATAGTTTTGCAGTTTGCGTCGGGTTTTCCTGAGGTTTTCGATGGGCAATCGAAGTTTCACTTATGAAACAAGGATTCGTATTCAGGGTTCCTTGGGTCAACGCCCCGACTGTGCCCAGGATTCCGGTTCTTTTCTCGCAGGGCGGCCCCGGGGACTGGCAGAGGCCCCAGGAGAGGCCGAGGGCGACGAGGCACGGCCGTCCTGATGCTGTCACGACGCGGGCATGCCTGGGCCTCCGTGGAAAACTAACGCACGCACGCACGCGCGCACGCACGCACGCACGTACGCACACGCACGAACGCACGCACGCACGGACGCGCACGCGCGCACGCACGCGCGCACACATGCGTACAGCAACACGCACGCACACGCACACGCACACGCACACGCACACGCACACGCACACGCACACGCACACGCACACGCACACGCACACGCACACGCACACGCACACGCACACGCACACGCACACGCACACGCACACGCACACGCACACGCACACGCACACACACACACACACACGCTCACACACACACACGCACACACACGCACACACTGTGAACAAAAAGTGCACAATGTGTGTGTGTGTGTGTGTGTGTGTTTTGTTTTCACCGTGTGTGTGTGTGTGTGTGTGTGTGTGTTCGTGAGTGTGTTTTTTTTCCACCGCGTGTGGTGTGTTCGTGATTGTGTTTTTTCCCACCGCGTGTGCGTGCGTGTGCGTGTGTGCGTGTGCGTGCGCGTGCGTGCGCGTGCGTGTGCGTGCGTGCGTCTGCGTGTGCGTGCGTGTTTTGCCACGACGCGGCCGTGCCTCCGTGCCTGGGCCTCCTCCCTCCCTTTGGGGGCCCACGCCCGGCAGCGGCTCGGGTGCCTCCCTCTCGCCGGCCTCCCCGTGCGGGGCCGGCCCCTGCCGGGGCCCGCCCCCGCTGCCGCCGCGCTCGGCCCCCGACATCCGATCGGCCGTTTTTTTTTTTTTTTTTTTTTTTTTTTTTTTTTTTTTTTTTTTTTTTTTTTTTTTTTTTTTTTTTTTTTTTTTTTTTTTTTTTTTTTTTTTTAAAAAAAAAAAAAAAAAAAAATCAGAAAAAATCTTCCTCCGGGGGGAAACAACTTTTTTGGTCTGCGGTTCGAGAGCGGGCCTCATCCGGTTAAGAGCTAGGCGGGGCGCGCACAGCAGTACTCAGGGAGACAGGGCGCGGGCGGGCGGGGCCTCAGGCGGCCGGAGGGCGCGGGGTGCAGGCGGTGCCGAAGAATTTGCGCAGGAAAAGGTACGCCTTGGACGGGAGCCGGAGGGGGGGAAAACACACACGCAGACACAATTCATCGTCGATTCCAAAGAAGATATAGGAAACCATGGGAAGTCGGGGGGGAGGCAAAAAAGCTCAGAAAATACTGGAAAGTATGGGGGAGTCCGGTTGTTTGTGTCTGTGCACTTGTGTGTCCCAGGGCCGCCCCTTCACTGTTGTTCTGGCACCTGGCGTGCTCCTCCTCGAGCCGCGTGCGGCGCTCTCCCTCCAGCCTCCTCCCCCGGGCACGCTCGCGGCGCGAGCAAGAACAGGACGGGCTGTCGTGGCTGCTTCGGGCCTCCTGGGGGCCCCTCGCCAGGCTCCGGGACCGAGGGCAGAGACGGCTTCGCAGAGGGCGAGGGTCGGGGCGGGGGGCCCCGTGACGTGCAAGCAGAGACGGCTCCGCGGGCCCCAGGCGTGCAAGGGCGTCGCCCGCCCGGGGGCCCCCCGTGCCGAGGAGGGGTCCGCTCGGAGAGCGCTCCCCCCGCCCCTCCTCTGCGCGCTCGCCCTCCTGCGCTCCCCCCTCGCAGATGTCCCCCTGCTCGGGGCGCGCTCCGCGCGCTCCGTCGCTCCAGCCGCTCCCCGCTGGAGGTTCCCCCCCCCCCCCTCCGCGTCTTCCCCGACGCCTGGCAGCGGCTCTTCGGCGTCGCGGAGGCTCGCGCCTGGGCCCCCCGGGGGCCGTTAAGGCGCGAGCCGGGGCCGAGGCTTCCGGGGCCCACCGGTGGACCACAGGGGGGGAGCCCCCGAGGGGGTGGTGGCCACGCCGTGCGGTGAGTCGGTGGGGATTCGGGGTCACCGCACGGTTTTGGGACTCGGGTCGTTCTCCGAGGATGTCTCGGGCGGCGGGGGCCTCCGGGGTCCCAAGGCCGTGCGGTGACGGGCCGTGCGGTGAGGTCTTGGGGGGTTTCGAGGTCACCGCACGGCCTGTCGCCGCACCGTTTCGGGAGCGACGACAGATGTCCGGGATGCTCACAGCAGCTCCATCTCGGGCGCTGGCGTGGTCTTCGCCTCCTCGCGGACAGATCGGTGGCCAACGTTCTGTGCGGGCTTGGGTGCCCTCCCTCCCAGAGTGTGCGGTCGGCGCGAGGCGTGGGGACATGCTCGGTTGGCGGAGGGCACACCTCGAGTGTCCTTTAGTTGTTGCGTGTGTGGTTCTTGGTTTGTCTCGGAGGTCCTTCTGTTTGACAGCTGTCTTCGTTCGTTCCTGTAAGGTTGGGGTTTCAGGCCGTGCCTTTCCGTGATGACCATGGCTTCCTCGATAGGCATGGCAGTCAAGGTCGGACGGCTCCTCGGGGAGCCCTCGATGACCTATGTTTTCGGGTCTTTTTTGCTTGCGGAGGAGCTCACGTTTTCGTATGATGCTCCTTCGTACGGCAGGTTCGCGTCGTGTCGATTGGCGGCGACCCCGCCGCCGGCGTTCGATTCTGAACGCCGCAGGCGACCCACAGCCGGTCTATGTTGAACGATCTGACGTTTCGGAAGCGGCCGATCGTTCCAGGCTGAACGATCCCCGCGGCGTCAGGAGCTGACGCTGGGGTCGACACGACGCGACCACGCGGTAATCACCTGCTCCGGTTGCACGCGGCGCGCGGGCGCCTCAGGTCGGCGGCATGGAGACCTTCGGCGCGGCCTCTCCGGGCTGCCAGTCCTGCTGCACGACGGGGCAGTGCGGGCAGGCGGGGTCCTGGCGGAGGGGGGTTGGACCTCCCCTCGGCCCCTTGTTGGCAAGCAACGGCAGTCGAGACGCTGGAATCGGAGATGAGGGGGTGAGACTTTGTGGGCCCCGGAAACGGCAGGGCCGTTTTTTCACCGTTTCCAAAAAATGTCCATTGGAAATGGAAACGGCAAAAAAACGGCGACCGGAAACGGCAACAAAAACGGCTCCAGGATTGGAACCAGAGCCGGAACCGGTCAAAAAACGGCGACGGAACCGGTAAACAAACGGCGTCGGAACCGGCAAAAATCGGGGGCGGAAAAGAGGGGGGTGATGATTAGGGGGGGGTGGATATCATGGCGGGGGCCATGATATTTCCCCAGATTTCATGGCGCCTCTTCTTATTTTATTACGTCCCTGGCCCCCCCGCTGGGCCGCGCACATGCCGCCGGTCATGATTTGCCCCCCCCCTCTTGGACCCCCCTCTTGGCCGCTCCCGGAAAACAAGGCAAAACGGAACCGGTAAAAAAATGGCCCTGTCGTTTCCAGGGCCCACTAAGGGGTGTGATCGCAGTGAAACAGAGAGCCCCCCGCTGGGAAGTCGGTTTCGGTTTCGTGGTCGGGCCGTGCATGCGGGCGAGGCGAAGCTGCGTGGATCGGCGGGAGGAACGAACCGTTCTCTGGCCAGGGCGCCGCCGGGCCAAGAGACTGCCAGCCCCCGGTGGTCCGTCAGTGGCCCGGGGTGTCCCGCGGGTGTCCCGCTGGTGTCCCATCGGTGTCCCGTAGTAAGATCGATAGTAAGGTCTGTAGTGAGACCGATAGTGGGATCCATACTGAGACCGATTATGAGATCGATCGTGAGCTTGATAGTGAGTTCGATAGTGAGACCGATAGTGAGAACGATTCTGATATTGATCGCAGGATCGGTCGTAAGATCGATAGTGATATTGATAGTGAGGTTGATTGTAAGATCGATACTGCGATCGATAGTGAAATCGATAGTGAGATCGATAGAGAGGGATACGGAGATCGATTCTGATATCCATACAACATAATAGTGATATCGATCGTGTGATCGATAGCGAGAGTGATATGGAGATCGGTTATGGGATTGATCGTGAGATCGATCATGAAGTCGATAGTGATATGGATAGTGTGATCGCTCGAGTCAGATCGATAGTGAGATCGATAGTGAGATCGATGGTGCGACCAATCGTGCTATCGAGATCGAAGTGAGATCGATAGTGACATCGATACTGGCATCGGTAGTAGTGAGGCCGATAGTGAGATCGATCGTGAGATCGAGAGTGAGAGCGATGCTGCTATCGAATTTGGTAACGGTAGTGAGATCGATCGTGAGATCGGCAGTGCGATCGATTGGGTGAGACGTTGCTTCCTCCCCCCGAGCCTTCTTATCACCTTACATCAAGGGCGCAAAAACGCCCCCACCCTGGTTTACGAGGCGCTGTGCGCTGAACCTCCTGTGGGCTGACAGGGCAAACCCTGCGTGATGTGCGGCGCCCTGCGGGCTCTCTAGGCTTTGAGAGTTCCCAGGAGGTTTACAGATCACGCACTTGTAACCCAGGATCGGGCCTTTTTTTCCATCCCTCACTACGGGTGGTCGTATAGGAAAGGGCCGCCTTGGGTTCAGCCGGAGCCCGAGCCCCTCCTAGGAGGAGGAGGAGGAGGAGGAGGAGGAGGAGGAGGAGGAGGAGGAGGAGAGGAGGAGGAGGAGGAGGAGGAGAGGAGAGAGGTAGAGAGGAGGAGGAGGAGGAGGAGGAGGAGGAGGAGGGAGGAGGAGGAGGAGGAGGAGGAGGAGGAGGAGGAGGAGGAGGAGGAGGAGGATGGAGGAGGAGGAGTAGGGAGATGGAGGAGAGGAGGAGGAGGAGGAGAGGAGGAAGAGGAGGAGGGGAGGAGGAGGAGGAGGAGGAGGGGGCGGAGGAGGAGGAGGAGGAGGAGGAGGAGAGGAGGAGGATAAGGAGGAGGAGGAGGAGGAGGAGGAGGGGAGGAGGAGGAGGAGGCGGAGGGGAGGAACGAGGAGGAGGAGGAGGAGAGGGATAATGGAGGAGGTAGGAGGATGAGGAGGAGGAGGAGTAGGAGGAAGGAGGAGGAGGAGGAGGAGGAGGAGGAGGAGGAGGAGGAGGAGGAGGAGGAGGAGGAGGAGGAGGAGGAGGAGGAGGAGGAGGAGGAGGAGGAGGAGGAGGAGGAGGAGGAGGAGGAGGAGGGGAGGGGAGGAGGAGGAGGAGAGGAGGAGGAGGAGGAGGAGGAGGAGGAGGAGGAGGAGGAGGAGAAGAGGAGAGGAGGAGGAGGAGGAGGAGTAGGAGGCAGGAGGAGGAGGAGGAGGAGGAGGAGTAGGAGGCGGAGGAGGAGGGAGGAGGAGGAGGGAGGAGGAGGAGGAGGAGGATGGCGGAGGAGGAGGAGGAGAGGAGGAGGAGGAGAGGAGGAGGAGGAGGGAGGAGGAGGAGGAGGGGAGGAGGTAGGAGGAGGAGGAGGAGGAGGAGGAGGAGAGGAGGAGGAGGATAATGGACGGAGGAGGAGGAGGAGGAGGGAGGAGGAGGAGGAGGAGGAGGGGGAGGAGGAGGAGGAGGAGGAGGAGGATAATTGAGGAGGAGGGGAGGAGGAGGAGGAGGAGGAGGAGGAGGAGGAGGAGGAGGAGGAGGAGGAGGAGGCGAGGAGGAGAATCGGAGGAGAGGAGAATCGAGGGAGGAGGAGGAGAGGAGGAGGAGCAGCTCTGGAGGGTCTCGCGTCTTCGGGCCGCTCCTCGGATGTGTGTCGAGGAGCCTGCCAGTGGCCTGAGCCCGCCGTGGCCAGAACGGCGCTTTCGCTTCTCATTCTGACTGCATCGAAGAATAAACACCGTCCCTGGGCTCAGCATCCCTCCCCCCTCGTCCTGGGTCTCCCTCCCCCTCCTCCCTCGGGGGTTCAATGTCGACCCCTGGACCTCTCCAGGGGGTGCGTTCCGCCACGAGCTCGTGGGGAGAGCCCGGCCGTGGCCACGGGGGCACCCGGGGACGCACCAACGCCCCCCCCAGACCGTCGAGGCTCGCATCTGCATCCTGCGCCTGCCTGTCCCCGCCTGGCAACAATCTGACTGCATCGAAGAATAAACACAGCTACACATTGTTCGTTTCTAAGTCTGCGAGAGTGCTTTGACTGTTGTTTGGGCCAGGATCCTCTCGGTTCTAAGTGTCCCATCCCGGGCCTCTTCCTGGCCACCAGGGGGCCGGGAGCAATTGGAAACGAGCACAAGTAGACATGAGCCCGATTAGAAACGAACGACGTGTACATCAGCCCGAATCTTCGGAGTTCCACGCGGATGTCCCGGATCGGCGTTGGACCCCCCGTTGGCGGAGCCTCAGGCGCCGCCCCTGGGCCCGCTCCGCGCGCCAGGGAGGGGCGTCCAGCGCCGAGGGGCCTGAAAACAGTCTGAGGGGGAGGGGGAGGGGCGGTGAATGGAAAGGATGATGATGATGCTGATGAGGATGTTGATGATGATGATGACCATGATGATGACGATGATGATGCTGCTGCTGCTGATGATGATGCTGATTAGTACGATGATGATGACGATGGTGATGATGATAATGATGTTAATGCTGACGATGATGATGATGATGATGATGATGATGATGATGATGATGATGATGATGATGATGATGATGATGAGGATGATGATGAGGTGATGATGATCATGATGATGAAGATGATGTTGCTGGTTCTGATTATGATGATGATGATGATGTTGATGTTGATGATGATGATGATTGATGATGATGATTGATGATGATGATGATGATGACGATGATGATGATGAAGCTGATGATGGTGATGATGATGATGATGATGATGATGGTGGTGAGGATGAGGAGGAGGGGGCGAGGAGGAGGGTGAGAGGAAGTGGAGGAGGCAGAGGCGGAGGCAGAGGTGGAGGCGGTGATACCAAGATGCGTCAGCGATGCTGTAATACTCCCTCCCGTCCCAAGTCCTTTCCTGCGTGCTACAAGTTTTTTCAATACAAGAAGCGCTCCCCCTTGAAGGCCAACAGCGCCGTAGGATGTTTTTTTTTTGGGAGGGCGCCGCTTCAAAGACGAACTCGGTTGCACCCTTCTTGTGCGTAGTAAGGAGTGCGTAACTTTGATCGTACAGTTCAGCGAGTTCCCCAGCGATGCCCCCATTCCGAAGAAGGACCACCATCAACCCGTGTAATTGCCGTACAAGTTCACTCTTGTGAATTTCGAAGACGTCTCGAAGAGTACCCCCATGTTGGCTGGATCCGTGCATTGCTGCATGTATTGAAGCTCCGGGTGTTTCGCATTGGCGAGGTCTGCGGCGAGGGCCTCTTCAGGAACACCTCCCACCCTTCTAAACATTCATCTCAAAAGACAATTGTGTGCGGCGCTGATGCGAGAGCCCTATTTGTTTCAAGCACCGTTGCCATCGCCTTGTAGTTGTGGCAAAAATGTTGAGGCGAGTGTGCGCGGCGTTGGGACGAGAACGCAACTCTGGAAAGGAACCGCCCTCCACCTTCCACGCGATTCCAGCATGTTAGAACGAAGGTGCAGAACGAAGGTGCGCAGCGCTAAGGCCAGAGCGCCAATCTGAAAAAAACACCGACCAACCTCCCTTCCCTGAATCCGCTGCAAACGTTTTAGGACGCGTGTGCGCGGCGATGAGGCGAAAGAGCCACACTTTGAACACAGCGGCCTGCGCTCAACCAGCGCGTGTTCTGCAACGGTCTGGGGAGGATGTGCGCGGCGCCCAGGCGGGAGCACCTCTTTTGAAAAGGAGCCGCCCCCCATCTTTGAAATCAGGCGAGCGCGCGCGGTAGCAAGGCTCGAGGAAGAGAAAACGCCATAGTTTTTTTTTTTTTTTTTTTTTTTTTTTGTTTTTTGCGCTCCGCGCTGATTTCTCGGATCCGCGCTGGGCCCTCCCCTGGCGGCGCCTCCGGCACCGCCCCTGGCGCGCTCCGCGCGCCAGGGAGTGGGGTCCAGCAGAGACCCAAGAAATCCGCGCGGAGCGCCG